GGCGTCCCAGCGTCTCACGAGGTTGCAAAGGGCAGCCAAGCCTGTGCATACCATCGGGCTCCGCGTCCCAGCCCCTGGCTCCCTCTCGCGGACCTCGAGCACCTCGCCAGCTCCGTAGACCACCGTCGACGCACGAAATTGGATCCCCAACGACGACTCGGCGCGATGGCGTCGCCGCGGCCGCAGCCCTCGGCCGCGCGCCCAGCCCGCGGGCAGCCGCGACCCTGGGTGCCGCCTCCAGGGCTCGCTCCGGGCCGAGGGGCAGCCTTTTAAGCCACGGAGAGCGGCCATCGTCGAGATGATCAATCGCCGCCACTGGGGATCGGCTCGCCCGCGCGCCGACTGCTCGGCATAAGCCTTAAACATGAAGATTCCCGCGGTCGAACTCAAGAGAGGTCGGGGCAGCCCCTCGCGCGGTTCGCGCGACGCTGTCCGCGGCGGCTCGGCATGGCGGCCGAAGCGGCGAAACCCTGGCTCCACGAGCTGACTGCCGCCGATCTGTACGCGCACTGTCGAATCGCAGACGAGCGCCGGGCCTTGGAGGTCACCGTCGACTACACCGCCTGGCTGCCGTACCGCGTGCCTCCGCCGCGCGAGGCCTCGAACGAGGACCTCGCCGCCCTGAAGCCGCTCTACGTCGAACTGCTCCGGGAGCCGGCGCGGAAATTCGACGAGGTCCTCGACGGCCCCTGCGCCGCCGACGACGGCCGAGCGGTGCTGCTCTACGCCCTGGAGTACGCGATGCTCGCGCGCGGCGCGCGCACCGAGGTGGGCGGCCTGGGAGTCGAGAACTTTCCGCTGCACGTGCCGTGCAAACGCATCGCGACCGACGGGCGGCTCCTCCGCTGGTGCCGCGACGCGCTCCGCGCTTCGCGAGACCGGCGCGCGGCGTTGATCATGTCCTGCGTGGGCCTGCTGCGCCAGAGCGGGTCATTCCTCAAGAAACCTCGCGCCGTTGTCGAGAACTTCCTGGGCGCCGGCGGCCTCGAGGCGCTCTGGGACGACTGCGCGTCGTGCCTCCGACGCTACGACGCGCGCGCGGGGCGACTCGCCGCGTTTCCGGCGAACGCGACGGTCGAGATCATGCTGCTTTGCATCGAGGTGGACACCATTGTCGTTTCGCGGGTCGAGTTTGAGGGTATCGTTCCCGAGCGGCACCGCGAGTTCTTCGCCAGCGCGCTCGAACACGCGCGCCCGAAGCTCGACGACGACGTGTGGGAAATGCTCGCCCAATTTTACGCGCCGACCCATTTGTTCGCGCGGTCCCGCGAAGGTCTTATGGAACAATTCGCGACGGTACGCCGGGAGACGGCGGAAATCGACGCCCGTGCCGCGGCGATGCGGCGGCGGGTATGCGACGGGCCCGGCTGCTCCGAGGCCGCGCCCTCCAAGTGCCGGCGCTGCGGCTTGGCGGCGTATTGCTCGCGCGAGTGCCAAAAAAGGCACTGGAAATCGGGCCACAAGCAGGTCTGCCGCCCGACGGACGGCGGCGCGGCGGCGGCGGCCGCCGCCGCCGCCAAGGCGCGCGCCGGGCCGAGCCCCCTCCTCGCGAAGCAGGACGCGCTGGTGCGCGAGCACGGCTGCGACTACGTGCTCGACGTCGACGCGGAGAAGTATTTCAAGGTCGAATTCGAGAACCCCATGGCCTCCGTTTTCTTCCGGACGCTGCGCGTCAAGGCCAAGGGAGGCTGCCGGCGGTCCCTGTACATGATGTACGACCAGCTGTGCGGCCTCTCACCGGAGCTGACCCAGCAGGTCCGAAGGCAGTTGCGCGGAGAGTACGGCGTGGACCCGCAGGCGTGCAAGGACGCGCCGGTGACGGCGTCGATCTCGGCGGCGGACATCCGGGCCGCCACCGGCGGCGAGGACGAGACCCAACGAGCAGCTTACGCCGAGCAACTCTCGCGCGCCGCAGAGACGGACCCCGAGGTTCGCGGCGCGCTCGCAGCGGCGGGCCATCGACTGCCGCCGCCGCGCTACTCGGCGGCGACCGAGGCGTTTGCGCGGTCGCGGGGCGTGCCCGACACCGAGGAGGGCTCGGCAGCTCATCTCTTCGAGATCATCATGACGGAACGACTCGAGCGAATGGTCCTCCTCTTCCGCGACCAGCCGCACGGGGACGACGCTTTCGACCCGTACGACGTCGAGCTCTGGACGTCGAACTGCGGCGGGGACGCGGACATGGCGCGGCGCGTCGTCGCCGAGGCCCGGGCCCGCGTCCTACGTCACGACCGCGAGGGGACGAACCCGTAACAAGAAGGGAAGGTCCGTCGACGACCATATTTTTACCCCTTTTTTACACACCTCGGTATCTTGAGAGCGGCGCGTACACCGCGGCAAGCCCGAGGCGCGGCGCCACGCGTCCCTTACAAGAGCGCGTCGTAGACGTAGGGGAAGTCGGCGTTCGCCGGGTCCATGAAGTCGAAGAACTCCGCGTTCGTCCGGAGCGCGCCGCCCGTGGAGAAGGGGAGCAGCGCGCCGGGCGCGTGGCCCGCGCACTCGCCCCGGCCGCACGCGGGCAGGCGCGCGCCGCCGGCGTCGACGGCGGTCCAGTCGCAGACGAGGTGGTCGTCGCTGGCCACCGTCGCGAGGCCGTGCGCGTAGCCCCAGGTCTCGTCGAAGCCGGAGTCTTCCGCGCGCCGGCTCGCGACCGCGCGGTCCGCGAGGCCGTGCAGCGGCCAGAACGCGGGGTCGTAGGGCGCGGCCGACGTGAACATCTCGCCCGGCGTGCCGACGGCGCAGAGCAGGCCCAGGAGCGCGTCGTAGCTCCGCACGGAGTGGGCGACCCACTTCTCGGACGCGAATAGAGGCGTGAACGCGAGGACGCCCGCGGCGTCGAGCGCGGCCTTCGATATGTTCGACGCGTCGTGGGCGACGCCCCTGGCATCCAGAAATTCGCCGACGAGCGACGCCGGGCAGGCGCAGGCGCAGGAGCTCGCGTTCGCGTCCGCGGCGCAGGTCGCCGGGCACCGCGCGAGCCCCTGGCGCCAGAGCATCTTCGACGAGAGCAAAAAACCGACGTTGCCGGAGCTCACGTCGACGTCGAGGCCCCAGTGGCCGCCGAGCATGACGTGGGCCTCGCCGTGGAGCATGCCGTTGAGCAGGCTCGTCAGCACGGCGAGCGACGGCGCGGACTTCGCCGCCGCGACGAACGCCGCCGCGGAGGGCAGCGCGTAGCCGCCGTCCTCGAGGCCGAGGACGTTGCGGTAGCGGCCGACGTAGGGCGTCGGGTTGACGTTCCAGGGGGACCGCAGGAGCCCGTAGGCGTTGGCGACGGCGCCCGCGGCGACGGCCTCGGCTTTGGCGACCGGGGTGAAGGCGAAGCGGCCGGACGCGATCGCGTGGTCCGCGCGGTCCCCCGACGCCGGCGAGAGCACGTCGTCATCAAACAACCGCGCCGACGTCCAGTCGTCCAGCGCCGCGTCGGCCGTGTAGTCCCAGTAGGGCACGGCCACGGTCCCGTCTATTGACCGCAAACTCTCCTCCATGGACAGCGTGAAGGCGACGTGCTTGACGACGAAGGACGCGTCGTCGTGCCACATGTCGCACTCGCGCGCCGCCGCGCCGCGCAGGTGCACGGCGACGAGCTCCGCGGCGCTCTTGTAGGCGCCGCCGTAGCGCCGCCGGCCCTCGGCGCCGCCGACGGCGTACGTCGTCTGCAACGCGCCGAGGAACGCCTCGCGCTCGCTCCGCGTGAGGTTGTAGATGTTGCGCCGCACGTACTTGACGAGCACGTCCGCCGTCGCGACGGCGCCCGACGCGTCCGTCGCCGCGACCGCGTGCCACCCCGCCTCTTCGAACGCGTGCCGCAGGCCGGACGCGCGCGCGTTTCCGCGGCTTTCGCCGTCGACGACCCAGGTCGCGGCCCGCGCCTCGCCGGCGGCGGCGAGAGACAGCACGCTCGTCGCGCGCAGCTCCGCCACGCGGGCCCAGGCGTAGCCCGCGCCGACGCGCCGCCCGCTCGCGCTCTCGACGCTGATGGACGCCGCCGACGTCCGCGGGGCCGCCACGGCGGCGAAGAGCGCCCGCGGCGCCCCGGAGTGCGACGTCAGCGCCAGGGCGCCGAAGAGGGCGACCGTGGCCAGGGCCGGCGCCCAGCCCGAGGCGCGGCTGCCCATCTGGCCGTCAGCTAATTCGCGCGGCATCACGCTATTCAACATGAGCCCTCCTCTTCACTTTACTAGTAGAACGAAACTCAAAAAACCTTCCGATGGGCGCTGCCCCCCGGCTCGTCGAGATGCCCGGGCTGCCGTGAGATGCCCAAGCTCATCGAGGTCGCGCCGGCGGATGCGAACCCCGAGTTCGAGGCGGCGCCGAAGGCGAACGGCCGGCACGGCAAGCACAAGAAGAAGGGCGGCGGCGGCGTCGTCGCGCGCGTCACCGCGCGGCTCAAGGGCGCCGCCGGCGGGTCGTCGCGGACGTCGAGCTACAAGGCGCACCAGGTCGCCGTGAAGCCCAAGGGGGGCGACAGCAGCGAGCGGCTCCACGAGCTGCAGAAGAAGAACGCGGAGAACTGTGTGGAAATCAACCGCTGGTTCGGGACGTCCCGACTGATTTTTGGACGAATCGATGGCTCTCGTCGGGTTCTCGAAGCACAGCCGAAGATCTCGAAACAGTCGCATACGCGCACATTGAAGTCGGGTTGAAGATTTGATGTCCACACAGGCGGAGAAGGCCTGGTACGCCGCGCACCGGCCGGACCTCGGCGCCGCGCCCGACGCCGCCGCGGCCGCGCCGCGGGAGCCCGCGAAGAAGATCACCTTCCGCAAGACGATGACCCTGGGCCACCCCACGGTCGTCTGGCAGAAGTCGCTGTCCGCCGTGCTGGGCCGGGACTACGCGATCCTCCACGCGTTCCACGAGTGCGCGAAGAAGCGGTCGACGGACGCGGTCCCGACGCTCCACCGCCACGCCTGCAAGAAGTTCTTCAAGAAGCTCAACGGCGTCGAGCCGCCGCCGGACGCCCTCGACCACATCGACGCCGACGCGGGCATCGACGAGACCACCGTCAAGTACAAGGTCGAGGACTACAACGAGTACATGACGCGGCGCGACGAGATCCGCGCGCGGCACAAGGACTGGATCTCGCGCTACCGCTCCTACAGCGCCGACGGCTGCTACTACCAGGACGACGAGCTGCGGAAAATGGTCGCGGACCTGTGCGCGCACAAGGTCGACGAGGAGGCGCTCCGGGCGGCGCTCGCGGCGACGGGCGCCGTGGAGAAGCCGCTGAAGATCGACGACGCCCACAAGTTCGTCGTCGCCTACGAGAAGCAGCTCCAGGAGGACGACGCTCTGCGCGAGCGCCGGCTGCGGGAGCACCCGGGCTGCCTCCGCGCGCTCTTCCGGTGCCTCCTCTGCATCCCCATCTAAAAAACGTGTGTTGTCGTCCGGCCTTACTTCTGCAGCTTGGGCTGCTTGCGGCCGCGCGCGGCGGCCTTGGGGCCCCAGTGCTCCTCCGGGTTCGGCGCCCAGCGGCGGGCCTTGGTGGCCTTGGCGCGCATGGCCGCCGTCGTCGCGAAGTTGGCCTCGAGGACCGGCGCCGTCGCGAGGATTTTGGCGGCGGCGGACCGCGGCTCCGCGAGGCGCTTCTCGGACACGGGGTGCTTCTTGACCCAGCAGCGGAAGACGTCCCAGAGGACGCGCGGCGGCGCGTCGGTCTTGATGGCGTCGGGCTCGCGGTGGTGCTGGGACACGCGGTAGCCCGCGTGCGTGAGCGCCGCGCGGACCTCGGCCATTTTGGGCGACGCGCAGTGGAGCGCGGAGCAGAGGTCGGGCAGCGTGTAGTAGAGCGGCACGTCCAGCAGCTCCTCGGAGACGGCCGTGAGCATGCCGTGGATGCGCTCCGTCGTCGACAGGTGCGCGTCGACGCCCGCGGCGACGCGGTCCAAACCCGCGAGGACCCACTCGGGGTCGTGCAAGGGCGCGGACCAGATGGGCCCGCCGATCTTGAAGGGCGCGCCCGTCTCGCCGCAGAAGGCCGGGGCCACGGTCTCGTCGAGCGCTGCTTCGGGGGCGGCCGGGGCCGCCTCCTCCGTGGGCGGCGCCTCCTCCTCGGGCGCCGCCTCCGACGAACCGCCGGCGGCCCGCTCGCGCTTCTTCTCGCGGCGCCGCTCGCGCGCGGACTGGCGCTCCGACGCGTCCTTGGCGACGGCCTTGCGGTGGAGGAGCGCCGCGGCGTGGCCGCCCTCGCGGTCGAGCGAGCGCGCCAACGGTTGCAAGTAGAAGGACGGGCAGCCCGCGGATTGGAGCACGAACGCCCGTTTCGCCGCGGACTTCTTGACCTCCGCGGGGCGCTTGTAGACGCGGACGAAGACGCGCACGTAGAAGTCGATGGACAGGGAGAGCACGGGCACGACGTGGCGCTGGTACTTGGCCGCGGCGGCCTCGATGGCGTGGACGAGGATCCGTAAGGCGAACTCGTGGAGGTGCTTCGCCTTCGTGGGCATGGAGCCGTACTTCGCGAAGCAGACCTCGGGGTAGTTGCCGCTGAGCACGGTCATGTCCGTCGACGTGACGCACAAGAGGCCGCCGTCGTTGACGGCCTGGACGGCGGCGTCCAGGAAGGGCGCGCAGGACCCGTAGGGGTCGAGGTCGATGACGTCGAAGCCCTGGGAGCCCTTGCCGCGCGACGCGGTCATGAAGTCGACCGCGTCGCCGCAGTGGGCCTCGCAGATGTCCGCGGCGCCATTCTCCGCGGCGTTGCGCCCGCAGGCCGCCGCGGCGTCCGCGTCGACGTCGTTGGCGACGACCTTGCGGACGCCGGGCACCTCTTTGGCGTAGCGGATGCTTCTCAGGCCCGTCGCGGCCAAAGCGTCGAGCACGCGGATGCCGTCGGTCTGCGCCTCGGCGCGCAGCAGGGCGTCGAGGTCCGCGGCGCTCAGCGCGTAGAGCCGCTCGCGCTCCGCGGCGGCGGCCGCGGCGCCGTCGCCGGCCTTGCCCGCGTCGCGCTTCGCCTTGCGCTCCGCGCGTTCGATGTGGCGCCACTGGGCGAAGAGCGAGATCATCAGGACGCTCAGGTCGCGGTTGAAGACCTGGACCTTGTTGTAGAAGACGGGGCCGTCGTGGTCCGCCGTGCCCCGGTTCCGCGTGTCGGCGCCGCGCAGCTCGTAGTTCATGGACGCGCTGCCCTCCGCGATGCGCTGGTAGCCCGCGTCCATGGCCGACGCGTCGCGCTTCTTCGACGGCGCGTCCGTCGCCGCCGCCATGGCGCGGAAAGGTAGGCGGACGAGGAGTGGGCGGTGCTGCAGGAGACGACGGGAGGCGCTCAGCATACGCGGTCGCAGATCGCCGTCGCCAAGTGCTCTTTGTGGACGTTGAAGACAGGTGCAGCCCGGGCCGGGCTCAGCCGATGACCTGACCGGAGAGGGTCGTCGCGTGTAGCAGCGCGTTGCGCGCACGGCTGCGCTTCAGCGGGTGCGGTCCCTTTCACGATGGCGGACCGCATTCCCGGGCTGGTACGCGCGTTGCATGAGGGCGACGACGATGCCAAGGCGCGCGTCGCGCGGGTGCTGGGCAACCTCGCGAGCAGCAACCCCGGCAACCGGGTCGCCATCGCGGCGGCCGGCGCCGTCGCGCCGCTCGTCGCGCTGGTGGAGACGGGCAACGAGTCGGCCAAAGAGGACGCCGCGTTCGCGCTGGGGAACCTCGCCTACAACAACAAGAAGAACAAGGTCGCCATCGCGGCGGCCGGCGGCATCCCGCCGCTCGTTGCGCTGGTGGCGGCGGGCAGCGAGTTGGCCAAGTCGCATGCCGCGGGCGCGCTGGCGAGCCTCGCCTTCAACAACCCCAGCAACAAGGTCGCCATCGCGGCGGCCGACGGCATCTCGCCGCTCGTCGCGCTGGTGGAGACGGGCATCGAGTCGGCAAAGTGGCCCGCCGCGTGCGCGCTGGCGAACCTCGCCTTCAAGAACGACGGCAACAAATCCGCCATCGCGGCGGCCGGCGGTATCCCGCCGCTCAAAGCGCGCGCGCGCGCCGGCTGCGTTGACGCGAAGCGGGCGCTGAAGAACCTCGCGTTCGTCGGCCAGGCGCCCCCCGCCGAGGGCACCTGCGTCGTCTGCTGGGACCGCCCGCGGTCCATCGCGATCGTCCCCTGCGGGCACCTCTGCCTCTGCGCGGAGTGCGCCGCCGCGCTCAACAACTGCCCCATCTGCCGCGCGGCCGCGACACAGCTCCTCACGATCCGCCACCCCTAAACACGCGGCATTACCCCGTGCTGTTCGCGGGCGAGGGCGGCCCGTCGTCGCTGGCCTTGGCCTTGGACGGCGACTTGGCGGAGTCGTCCTCGTCGTCGGAGTCCGGCGGGTAGAGGTTCGAGATGGCCCAGGACGCGTTCGAGTTGACGGCGACGTTCTCGGGGAAGTTGGCCTTGGCCGTGGCGATGACGTCGGCGGCGGACTTTTGGGCGTCGCGCGCGACGCCGTGGTGCTTGTAGAAGCACCAGCCGAGGACGAGGCAGCCCTTGGCCTGCATCTCGGAGTCGAGCGCGAAGGTCCGCATCGCGTCCAACACCGTGTTCGCGCAGTCCTTGGCGAGGCCCGCGCGCTTGAAGCCCCGCTGCTTCGTCGCCACCGTGGCGAGCTGCCAGGAGCCGAGCTTCTGCGCCTCGGAGATCGTCGAGTTCTTCTGCATGGACCGGAGCACGTAGGGCAGGCCCTTGTGCGCGGCCTTGGTCATGTCGGCCGCGACGCCGACCAGCGGCTGCGCGATGGGCATGATGTAGTCCGACGGCTCGGACCACTCGCCCCAGCCGCCCTGGTTCCTCGCGCGCACGCGGAAGCGCACGGCCATGCCGGGCACCAAATGCGGCGCCTGGAACTTGTTCGTCGCGATCGTCGTGAACGCGCCGATGCGCGCCCAGTCCTTCGAGTCGAACTTGGCCGTGCCCATGGACTCGAGGTCGTACTGCACGGGCGGCGCGCCGGAGAAGGGCGGGTCCTTCCAGTGGAGCAGCGCCGACCGGTCGCGCACCTTGAGCGCGACGGGCGGGTTCGGCGGCGGCGGCAGCGCGGGCGCGGAGCAGACGGTCGTGTACTGGTCCTTGGCCGTGCGGCCCGCGGCGGCCTGGGGCGTCTGGGAGATGACGGGGTCCGGCTCCTCCTTCTTCTTCTTCTTCTTGAACTCGTCCAAGCCGGCCTTGTCGCCCTCGGCCGTGAGTTTCCGCACGAGCTCGTCCTCCGCGTCCTTCTTCTTCTTCGCCTTCTCCTCCGCGGCCTCGCGCACGAGCTTGATCTCCTCGTCGACGACCCGGACGACGTGCTCGTAGACCATGCCCACGGACACGCGGAGCTCGTCGACCTCCGCGGCCTGGCCCATCAACGCGCGGACGACGGCGCCGCCGAAGATGGACGTCTCCGCGCCGTAGTAGGCCTTCTCGTAGGTCGCCGCGTGCTGCGAGTCGCGCGCCTTCTTCGCCTCCTGGGCCTCGGCGGCCTTCTGCTTGATGGCCTTGACCGTCTCGAGCGTCCGCGCCTTGCCGAAGCGGAAGAGGCGCCCGGGCCAGGACCGGATCTGGTCGATCTCGTCGAGGACGACGTACTTGCCCGTGTCCGGGTTCTCGACGACGCGCATGGTGAGCAGGAAGCGCGAGAGGGGCGGCAGCTTGCGGTAGGCGCCGGCGACGGCGGCGAGGACCTTCGACGGCGGCTTCGGCGGCTTCGGCTCCTTTCGCTTCTCGTCGCCCTTCTCCTCGGCCTTCTTCTTCCGCTCGCGCTTCTTCCGCTCCTTCTTCGACGTGCCCGCGGGCACGAGGGCGCCGTCCTCGTCGATCTTCCCGAGGCGGGGCGACGCCCTCGGGCTCGACGGCTTGCTGCCGGCCCGGGGGGACGTCGGCGCGCTCCCGCCCGGCGTCGACGGCTTCGAGCCGCCGCGCGGCGTCGGCTCCGCGCTCGCGGGGGTGCTCAGGGGCGCCTCGGGCGCCTCGGCCTCGACGCCCGGCGCCGCCGCGGGGCCGGCGGCGGCGTCGGCGGCGGCGGCGTCGTGCCCCGGCTTCGAGTCGCGCCGCGCGCGTTTCGCGGGCGCGGGCCCCGCGGCCTCCGCGGCCGCGGGCGCCGCGGCCGCGTCGGCCTCGAGGGGCGGCGCCTCGTTTGCCTCCGCCGGGGCGTCGTCGGCCGCGGCCTTCTTCTTCTTCGCCGCCTTTTTTTCCGGCGGCGGCGCCGTCTTCGCGTCGTCGGGCGCGGCCGCGGGCGCGGCGCCGCCGTCCGCGGGCGGGAGCTTGCCCGGCCGCGGCGCGAGCTGGGGCTTGGCCTTTTTCTTCTTCTTGTCCGCGTCCTTGACGCCGAACTTCTGGGCGCCGCCGCCGAAGAGGCTCGGGCCGAGCTTGCAGGAGCCCAGCACGCGGCAGTCGGCCTGCTTCGCGATCGTCGAGTACAGGTCCGCGGGCGGGTAGACGACGAGGGATTTAAGTAATGTGTCCTTGGGCCGCTCGCCGTGGCAGCCGTCGATGACGACGCACTTCTCCTTGCACTGGATCTTCGAGATCGTCTTGCAGAACTGCTTCACGGACACCGCCGTCCGCTTCAAAGCCTCCGGGTTGCCCGCGTTCGTGTCCTTGAAGCAGAAGTAGGCCCCCTTGCCGTTGCCCTTGGTGATCTGCGCCACGTAGGTCGACACGTAGACGAGGAGCACGCCCGTGGGCTCCCAATTTTTGTCGTTGGACAGCGCTTTTTCCGTCGCGTTCGCCTTCTTCACCATGTCCTTGAGCGTGTCCATGTTGGAGAGCATGGCGTCGCGCGTGACGTTCTTGACGAAGATGCAGTCCTCCTCGTGGAACTTGGCCAGGTAGGGGTGGACGACGACGCGCCGCAGGCCGTCGTGGTCCGCCTCGAGCGACGCCGGCAGGGGAGGCAGCCGCTCGCGCTCCTCGAAGCGCGTGCAGTGCGCGACGAACGCGTACTGGCGCAGCGCCGACGGCGCGGTCTCGTAGCCCTTGGGCGCGATGAAGACCGCCGGGTCCGGCAGGTCGCTGTCGCCCAGCGCGAGGGGCTTGTCGTACTGGACGAGGCCGTTCCGCTTGTTCTTGTAGTAGTACGCCTCCTTCTCCGCGTCGTACTCCTTCGTGAAGTTCGACACCACGAGCTCGCGGATCAGCCGCCGCGCGCGCCGCCCGCGGTAGGCGTGCTGCACCTTGCGCGCCTGGCGGTCCATCTCCTCCTCGAGCAGCTCCTCCTCGGACGCCTCGAGCGGCGCGTCCAGGTCGACCTCGTCGGGCAGGTCCGGCATGTCCGCGAGCTGCTCTTCCTCTTCCGTCATCGCGAGGATCTGCGCGGGGGGAGGGGGAGTTCGTGAAGCGACGGGCGAAACGACGGGACGCACGTCGTCGAGGGGCGGCTCCGCGTCGCCTTTCTTGCCGCCCTTCTTCGCGGCCTTCTTGTCGGCCTTCTCCTGCTTCTTCCGCGCGGCCTCGTCCTTCTTCGCCTACGACGGTGCGGTGACGGACCCGCGCCTCTCGAGCGACGCGCGCCTGCTTCGCGGCCTCCTTGTCGGCCTTCTTCTTCGCCTTCTCCTCCTCCTTCTTCTTCTTCTTGTCCTCCTTGGTCTCCGGCTTCGCGTTGGGGTCGAAGGACACCATGGCGCCGGCGCGCCGCGCGGGACGCCGTCCGGCGCCGCGCGCTCCTCAGGCGGCGGCGGGGCAGCGACGCTACGCGGCGCACATCGTCGTTGGCTGCCCGGGGCAACGATGGCGCCACCGTCGGCCCGGGGGCAGCCCGTCCCGGGGACGATGACGATCACTTTGCCGGAGACGCGGTCCATCGCGGAGCACGCGGGCTGGGGCATCGCGAACGCGGTCCTGGGCGCCGTCTTCACGGCCCTCGGCGAGACGCTGCGGCTCTACGCGCGGCGCACGGCCGACGACGAGGCGCGCGGCAGCGAGCCCGGCGCCGGCGGCGCGCGGTGCTGCGGCCTGCTGGGCCGCGCCTGCGTCGCCGTCGGCGTCTGCAGCGGCGTCGTCGGCGACGCGCTGCTGCCCATCTGCACGCAGGCGCCCTTTTACGCGCTGGCGACGTGCTTCGCGCTCGCGGGCCGCTGCGTCGCCGACGGCGCGCGCGCGCCGCGGCTCGTCGCGTACCGCGCGCTGCCGACGAAGGCCGACGCGCCGGGCGACGACGAGGCGCGGGACGAACCGGGCGCCCTCGGCGGCGTCGTCGCCTGCGCCGTCGCGGCGACGTCCGAGAAGTGGCGGCTCGTCGCCGTCGCGTTGACGCTCGCGGGCCCGCCGCTGGCCCTCGTCGGCGCGCCCCTCGACGACGTCGGCGGCCTGAGCGTCGTCGACGCGCGCATCCTCGTCTTCGGGCCGCCGGCCGTCGCCTACACGGCCCTGAGCGCCGTGGTGCTGCTGGTCATGCGGCGCGTCGCGCGGCGGGGCAACGCGTCCGTGCTCCTGGCCTACGCGACGCTCGGCGCGGCGCTCGGCAGCGCCTGGGTCCACGTCGTCGTCAAGGCCATCGTCGAGGTGCTGGTCTTCTACAGCGACGACGCGCCCATGGCGCCGCTGGCCTACGCGACGGTCTGGGCCGCGTTCGCGTCGCTGCCCGTGCTCGCCTGCCTCCGGCGCCGCGAAAAGGGTGCTTCAAGCTCGCTTCAACGTGAGTGTTCCGCGCGCGCGCGCGTTCCCAAAAAAGACATCCACGCTTCGGGAGCGCTCCGAGAGATGATCGCCCGTCCAGAAATGAGCCGAAACGAGTGGGAAGTGACCGAGAGAGGAGCCTCTAAAGTTGGGGAATGTCGCACCCTTTTCCCGCCCAGGTCTTCCTCCAGCGCGCGTTCGTGCTCAAGGGCCGGCGCCACTTCCCCGAGCGCGTCTTCGGGCCGCTGGTGGCCGCGCTCTCCGTCGCGACGAACGCGGTCTGCGGCGCGTTCTACTTCGACGACCTCGGGCTCCTCGGGTCCCACATCACGCCCGTGCTCTCGCCGGACGTGCCCATGGAGGCGCCGCCGCCGGCGTCGAACTCGGACGTCGCCTTCTACTTTGCGGGCGTCGGTCTCGCCGTCGCGGGCACGCTCCTGACGCTGCCCCTCGAGCCCGCGGGCGACGAGAAGGCCGAGGCGGCGGCCGGGGCCGACGCGGACGAGTTCGGCGACGGGTCGCCCTACGACCCGGAGTACGACCAGCACGTCTTCGGGGACGCCTACGGCGCGCTGACGAAGGCGCCCCTCGGCGACGACCCGCTCCTCGGGCCGGGCCGCAAGCCCAAGGAGCAGAAACGCGACTGGAACTGCGGCGCGTCCGCGCGGACGGGCTCCCGGGACCCGCCGCCGCCGACCGGCGGCGGCTCCGCGTGGGAGGCCGCGGCCGCGGAGGCCATGAACAACGGCGCGACCTTCGCCGCGTCGCTGGACGCTGATCTCTAAAAGTGGGCGCGGCTAGAGGTGGTCGACGGCGATGTACATGTCGATGCGAGTCGCCGGAAGCCGACTTGTAAACTAGGCGCGGCTAGAGGTAGTCGACGGCGATGCGGCGCGGGTCGAGGGGCCGGAGCCCGCGGTCGCGACCGGACGAGCCGCGGCGCGACTCCGAGGTCCGCGGCGGCCGCCGGCGACGGGTCGGCGGCTCCGCCGCCGGGGAGGCCGTGGCCGCCCAGGCGATAAATAACGGCGCGACGTTCGCTGCTTGTTGGATGCTGATCTCTAAATGGGCCCATAGTTAGGCGGTGTGACTGAAGTTTTTGTCCGAAAATCGCTGAATCGCTCGACAAAAATCTGAGCTAGGTGGTTTTCACACGTGCAAGCAGAAGGCTAATTCTGCGATGGTCGCGTCTTTTTTCTTCTCCTGCGCGGTGCAAGAGAATTCAGAAAGCGAGGAGAGTGAGGATTCAGAGGTGACGGCCTTGACTGAGATCGACATGGACACGGGCACTTCGCGGGCGGCCAACGAAGAAGACGGTCGCAAAGAAAGCACGGACGGCGAGGACGCCCGCGACGTTTGCGCCGTGGTCACGCCCGTCGACGAGTACGAGCGAGAGCCCGACCACGACTTCGACAGCGACGGCGAGTCCGACCGTTTCAAAACATCGCCGCGGTCGCCGCGGTCCGCGCGGTGGAACAACCGGTCGCTGATCTCCGCGCCCGCGCCGCTCCCGAAGCTCGCACAGGACGCCAAGGACACTTCCCCCCAACGGCCTCTCCAGCCCCGTCAACGGCCTCCCAACGGATAGTCCCCAGAGGCAAGTCCGGCCTCAACGTGGCCAAGGATACCTATCGCCAGCTGCACCACGCGATGGGGCAGCCTCCTTGAGGTCCCCGGTCCGCTGCCCAGCGGCACTCTAAGTCCCACTGCCAAACACACCGGGCTGTGTCATTCTGGGTTGCTGAGCCCACTCAGCTCGCTCCTGCGCATCCTGCTCGCACATCCCCACGCCCACCTCCCGCGACTCGCACAGTCGCCTAAGCCCGCCCAATAGGACGGCAGATCGGCCCGGCTCGCTCAGCCTCGGCGCTCCGATCGACACGCCCCCGGCAACCCCGGGTCCGGCACTGCCCCCTGCGCTCCAGCCAGCGCACGGCCCCCATCCGCGTCTCCGACTCGCCCGTGACGACCCGGACATCCACCTCAACTTCGCGATGGCACAAGTACTCGCAAGCCGAAATCCGCACTACACGGTTTCCGCAGATGGAATCGCACTCTTCGACCCGAAGCTCAACGAAGCCGCGGCGAACTTCGAGAAGCTCACCGCCTTCGTGAAGAAGATCCGCTTCCGGTTCCCACAGCTCAAGTTCCTCGTCCACTTCTACCAGAAGGACTTCGACGAGATCACGAACATCACGGTCGACAACGACGACGGCACGCAGACCGTCACCCAGCGCCAGTCCCTCTGGGACCGCAAGTGGGCCGAGATGACCGCCGCCCAGGCGACCTTCTGCGAGGAGGCCCTGGTCTACATCCTCTGCAACCGCGTGAGCGAGAAGATCGCGAACGTGCTCTACAAGATGGAGAAGGACGAGGACGCGGATGCGAAGGCCCTCTTCATGTACCTCCGCAAGAGCTACGGCGCCCCCAAGGACGGCGGCCGGTCCATGCTCACCAAGCTCAGCAACATGAGCCTCAACGCGTGCGGCGACATCGACACGCTGCTCAACACCATGAGCACGACCTACGACATGTACAAGTCCGCGAGCGGCGAGAAGCTCGCCGAAGCCACGCTCAAGGCCTACTTACTCGCCTCCATCTCCCACAAGAGCGGCCGGGGCCCGGAGGAGCTCGACAGCACCTACCGCGACTTCCAGAAGCGCGACGCGTCCTACGCGACAATGGCAGACGAACTCCGCCAGCTGCAGATCGGCGACTCCGGGACCGAGCACCCCATCGTCATCGCCAACCCGGAGACGCCGGCGGGCCAGACGGGCCAGGGCATCTTCTCGGCGACGGGCTCCTCCGACGTCAACAACAAGGTGCTCCAGACCATGATCCAGACGCAGATCCAGGCCATGCTGTCGAACAAGCAGATCGCCGCGCCGGCGACGGGCGGCGGCGTCCCCTTCGTCACCAAGCACTGCGACTTCCACGGCGAGTGCGCCCACACGACCGCGGAGTGCCGGGTCCTCCAGAAGGACCCCAACGCGAAGCCCGACAAGTACCGCAACCGCAACCGCAGCGGCAACTACCGCGACCGCGCCAACGACAACAACCGCGACAAGCAGCTCGTCGCCGCGGCCGTGCAGGCCGCCCTCACGGGCCGGGCCAAGGAGGAGCAGGCCCCACCGATCGACTTCGGCGGCTCCATGAACTGCATGCTCAACTCCTACGAGCTCCTACAGACCAAGAACGCGGTCGACGAGGCCATCGGCAGCATGAGCCGCAAGGCCGACTACGACCCCAAGTACTGCCCCGTCGTCTTCGACAAGCCGACGGGCGACGCCTACATCCACCCGGACGGCTACAACTACCCGACGCAGCCGGTCAAGGACGAGGTCCGCGAGAACGAGACCCCGAACACGCGCGACATCTACAGCACGGCGCCCCTCGACCTGGGCGCCTACGCGTCCGGCGACGCGGACGTCGGCATGCTCAAGGGCATCATCAAGATCCAGGCCATCACGCGCGGCAAGCACATGCGCGAGAACGAGGTCAAGCTCTACCACAACGACAACGACTCGATGCCCGACCTCGTCGACGCGTCCGTGACCACGGCGTCGGACCTGGGCTCGGAGCACGACCTCGTGGCCTTCAACGACCTCGGCCACATCGGCGCCTGCGACAACGTCCGCGAGGACGAGAACGAGGTCAAGCTCTACCACAACGACAACGACTCGATGCCCGACCTCGTCGACGCGTCCGTGACCACGGCATCGGACCTGGGCTCGGAACACGACCTCGTGGCCTTCAACGACCCCGGCCACACCGGCGCCTGCGACAACGTCCGCGAGGACGAGATCGCGAACTTCGACATCCCGGACACGCGCAGCGACTACGACGCGGCCATGATGCACGCGCAGCACGCCCACGTCATGCAGACCACGGCCTTCCTCGGCGCCAACGTCATGTCCAGCCTGGGCACCATCGTGCCCATCATCAAGATCCAGGCCATCGCGCGCAAGAAATACGTGCTCTCGTACACGGCCCACGACAGCCGCTACGCCCAGGAACACCAGAGGCCGGACCTCGACACGAAGGCCCGGCCCCAGGCGACCGTGGACAAGCCAACGCGACCCCGCGAAGAACGACCGAAGTGGCACGACGAGGCCAAGAACGACCTCCAGGCGTGGGTCGACAGCCACGCCCCCACCTGCACCATCGCGGCGGCGACGCCGGTGCAGTGGCCCACGCAGCTGCCACCGCCAAGGCCTGGAGCCACAAGACTACTTCTCGACGGAGGCGCGCAAGCGAACAGCACGGGCATGAAGCCCGACGGGCCAATTCACCCCGCCGACGGCACCCTGGGCCGCCCCAGGTGCCTCGCCGATGGCGGTGGCCACAGGCACGACGTCCACGGCTACACGCGAACACGACTCAAGGTCGACAACGTCATCTTCGAGGTCGACAACGACAACATCGTGCCCGGCTTCACGACGAAGGTGCTGTCCGTCGGCATGCTGCGAAAGCAGGGCTTCAAGATGTCCCTGGACACGGAACCCTACGGGTTCTACACCCCGGAGGAGGAGTGGGTCGCCGTCAACGAGCACGACAACTTACTCTACATCGACGCGGAGCACGCGACAGAAGCTCCAACCGCTCCGGCCTCCGGGGGAGTCTCCACGGCCTCCGGGGGAGTCATGACGCCCATGCTCTCGCAGCCCGGCGACTACGTCACCGACGGTCACGTCGAAGTGGTCGAACTGTTCGCAGGCCGAGGACAACTATCAAAGGCCTTCGCCCTACGCGGCGCCCGCATCGTCGCCGTCGGCGAGATCGACGAGACCGCGCTCGAGATGCTCCGCGCCGAGCACCCCGACGCGCTCGCCATGGGCGACACCGCGAGACTAGAGTACCGAAACGTGCCATGGTCACGACACGCGTACCGCATAGTATGCGGCGGATTCCCATGCCAGATGGTCGCGCCCCAGGGCCTGCAACTGTGCTGGGACGATCCACGCGCCGCGCAAGCCCTGCACTTCGTGGCGGCCGTCGACGCGAACAAGCCACACGCGGCCATATACGAAAACGTCTACTCGTTCTGGGCCCTCATGGGCCCCGAGTTCGACAAGCTCATGGCCGCCATCGGCTACGTGCCGAAGGTACCTGGCAAGACGCCCCGAATCGAGTTCTTCCGCGCCACGGAGCACGGGAGCTGCCTCTGGCGCGACCGAATCCACCGGCACTACGAGCCCGCGAACATCGAGCTCGGCAACCTCGCCGAAATCGAGAAATCGAAGCTGTACGCAACTCCTCAACGGCTAGAGCAGCACCTGCTCCCCGCCAGCGAGGTCCCGGAGGAAGCGTTCCTTCCGGGGGAGTTCAAGCGCCTCGAGGCACCCCGGCGGGCCAAGGACGAAGACCCATATTCGCCACTCATCGTCGCCACGATCACGACCAAGCCCGGAGACAAGGTCACCGCGGGCTCCCGAGTCCGCATCCGGGGGAGCGGCGACGCGTGGTCCGTGCTCGAGGTCCGCCAGCACACGGTCAAGCTCATGCGCGACGAACGCTCCAACCCGACCACGGTCGAGGTCGACAAGAACGAAGTCACCGCACACCTTGCGCGGACAGTCAACGTACACGACGCCTCCAGACTCATGTCGCCCCGCACCTTCGGCCAGGACACGCCCAACATGATCGTGGAGCGTCCCTCTCATCCTGGCCGTGCGTCGCACGTCCTCGTGACCGAAGCCGCGTCAGCTATGGGCGTCACGATCGACCCGAGACTACCGCGTGAGCAACAACAGCGACACGTGGGCAACGCGATCGTCGACGTCATGGCGGACGCCATCTCGGCGCGGGCCATGGGCCGCGCGTCCGTGGCCGCCGCCAAGCTCGCGCCATCGGCGACGATGGCGCCGATGATGTCGGTACCCGCCCCGCCGCCCCTACTACGACCTCGCGCCCTCGAGAACGCACCATCGAAACTACCAGCCGGAGCCAGCGCGACGCGGCGGTTCCTGCACCTCGGCATGGGCCACTGCGGGGACAAGGTCCAGACCGCGACGGCCAAGGACCACAACTGGACCCTGACCGGCGACAAGGTCAGCGACTGCCGATGCAAGGTCGACAACATGCGCGCAGCACCGACATTCGCAATCTCGAGAAGCGCAGAACCACGCGACGAACGCGTCTGGAACATTGACCTCATGGGGCCCATGCAGACCAAGGCGCGCTCCGGCGCCAGGTACGTCTTCGTGGCGGTGAGCCAGAGCGTCGACGGCAAGCCCGCCATGGTCTTCACCCACGGACTCGCGAAGAAGAGCGACGCAATCAAAATCGGCATCCCGGCGCACTTCGCCGAGTTCGCGGCCCGCGACAAGCCGCCGCGGGTCTACGTCTCCGACCTCGGCGGCGAGTTCGAGAGCCGCGAGTCCGAGGAGGTCTTCGCGCGGCTGGCCGTCGTCCACCGACGGCGGGCGCCGGAGGCCCACGTCGACGTCGCCGAAAATGCAATCAAACGCCTGACCGCGATCGCGCGTACTTCAATGCAGACCGGCGTCGCGGCTTCCCTATGGGAATACGCGATCCACTGGGCCGCCGACTGTCTGAATGTCAGGGCGGACCCCGTCTCCGGGACGTCCGCGTACGAGGCCTACTTCGGCCACAAGCCGGACATGACCACAATCTGCGAGTTCGGCGCGAGCGTCGCCGCGCTCGACAACGGCCAGCGGAAACGCTTCGACCCCAATGGCGTCCTCACGACGTACCTCGGCCCGGCCCGAAGCCATGGCTGCGGCGCCATCTACGTCTACGCGCAGCAAAACGTGCGAGTCGTACGCACATGGCGATTCCTCGCATTCGCAGGTGAGAAGCTCGACGCGGCCACGCTACGCGTCGTCTCCGAGCCCGCCCCGGCGGACCCGGCCGCGGACCCGGAGCCACCGGACAACACCCGCGGCTACGTCTGGCCGCCTCTGGGAGACGCGCGAGACGACGAACCTGACGGGCCTGAGGAACCCGAAGAGCCCGAAGAAGCCGAAGCCGACACGCGACGCACGACGCGACGCCGAACGGTACCGGAGCGCTTCCAGATGGTCCCCGGCGTGCCGGACGGCAAGTGGTCCGGCGCCAAGGCCCTCGGC